CAAAACCCCAAAACCCCAAAACCCCAAAACCCCAAAACCCCAAAACCCCTCAACTGAGAAATACAGTACAATTGATAAGTAATCTTGAATAAATACAGATTTAATCAAAAAGAATAGGATAAAAGTATAATTAATCGAATCGTACCATGAATTTTAATGATAGTTCTTGTATGGAGAGTCAGAGTCCCGAGTTCAAGGAGGAAAGAATGACAAGTAGTTTGAACCTTCAAAGTTTGTCTGGGATGCAGGCTGATGATTCTTTAATCACAGAGGATTAATTGGATTTTAAAGGTCAGGATGAAAGTGCAGATAAGTAAAATTCCTGGCTTACAAAAAGGAAAAATGGAGCATTTAAAAGTGTAGAATATTATTAGCTCGACACTTCATAGAGCTAGAATAGTACAAATAAAGGATCAAACCCTTCAAGCGAAAACTCAAGTCCTCTTAAGAAAGGAAATTAATTTAGCAATCGCACCAAGGATTTTAGATAAAATCTTAAAGGTATAGTGACTTGACAGTTTATATACATTTATAATATTTAGATCATGTCTAATCTAAGAGGACATATAACTAAAGTAATAATATATTATAGGTTCCTTGAATTTGGGTCTAGATCGCTCCAAATTTCAATCTAGTACCTCATTTTCAAGTGTGATAAATATGGAAAATATAACTGCCGACGAAATTCAAAAAATTGAGCAAGAATTTCGAAATGAGTTTGAGAAATATTACATCGAGGGGAAGTTTATTGGCGAGGTATGTAATAACTTATCCATATAGGTCCAATATTAAGCCTAAATTTTTTTGAATATAAAAGACTAAATAGCTTATTTAATCATTTTAGGGATGCTCAGCAGTTGTAAAGGAATGTGAAAACAGAGCAACTGGACAAAAGTATGCTGTAAAGATTATGCGTAACTTAGATGAGGAGAGAGTCGCTGCGGCCAAAAATGAATTTGATTTATTAAAAAGTCTGAAGCACTCCAATATCGTAAAGGTGTAGGAATTTTTCGTGACACACAAGTAGATATACATGATTATGGAGAGAGTAGAAGGGTAAGAGCTAATGGACAGGATATCTGAGATTGAGAAATATGATGAAAACATAGCAAAGAAACTTTTTAGACAAGCCCTTTTAGCTATTGAATATCTTCATGAAAATACAATCTGCCACAGAGACATTAAGCCTAGTAATATCTTGGTGTTGAATAATAAGGAGAAAATAAAGTTAACTGACTTCAATATATCAAAACTTTGTAAAAATAAAAACTTTCAGATGCTAACTCATACTGGTACCGAATCTTTTTCAGCCCCTGAAATGTTTAGTTCAGAAGTATACAATGAGAAAATTGATCTATGGAGCGCTGGTTGCGTACTTTATACAATGCTAGCAGGCTATTAGCCGTTTTTCGAATAAAAGTAACTTTTATCTCTAAGTTTATGTTGAATTTAGTGCTAACAAGCTTTATAAGATGATAAAAGAGGGAATTTATGATCTAGAGGGGGAAACTTGGCAAGATATTTCAGAGAACGCAAAAGACTTGATTAAAAAATTACTCACTGTCGACCCTGAGTAAAGACTTTCTGCCAAAGAGGCATTAAATCATCCTTGGGTGAGTGTTTAGGAAGATAAACCATTCGCCCTTTCAACAGTTGTTACTAAAATGAACTAAAGAAAGTCAATCAGACTTATGGACGTTAACTTAAACAAGTTAAGTGAGAATCTCTATCCAAATATAGACTATTCTTAAATATACTAAAGCCTTTTGCAAAAAGGCTTAGATCCGATAAAGTAAAAAAGGGAACGTAAGATGTCAATGAGGGAAGACTCGAAGATGATGGCTTTTTAAAATCCATCTAGGGTTACTTCTCGCAGAAAGAACACTGACTTCTCTATCGATGATGAAGCTTACAATAATCTCAATAAATAGTAAACTACGACTACTAATGAGAATAACTTAGATGCAAAATCATTGCAAGCCAAAGACTTAATGGGTTGCCAACTTTCAAACATTGATGAAATATCAGACAGACAAAGCGATGCTAACACATCTCCCTAGAAAACTCCAAGAAACGGCAGTATCAATGCAGGATTTGAAGATTTCGATTTTCCTCTTTAGAGATAATCAAGTTTTAGTATAACTCTCAGCAAATAAGAATTATCACCGAAGGACGAAATAAGAGAGCAACAAGAAGAAGAGGATGAATAGTGATTTGATTTTGAATTATAAGAAGCGTTAAATTTTGCAAATTATAATTAAAGTGCAAATAACAATATTAATAAAGAGTTGTAATATAAAAATCTATAATCTAAATTCAGTTATTTTGTGTATTTAGAAAAATTTGATGTACGGGGTTTTGGGGTTTTGGGGTTTTGGGG